TGGTTTGTTCTGAATTTGCTCTGTGTTTATGTCTTTTTAATACGTTTAAATCTTTTTAATCGTTTTACATCAGTCTACATTTTGTACTGATAACAATTGCCCTTGGGTGTGGGGTATTGGGTGTGTTTTTTGATGCTACCTTGTTATCAGTAATTCGTGATTGTTAGCTTTTAAATATTTGGGTGTTGAGTTGTTTTGTTATGAATCTAACATGGCGACCAGAGGAGTAGGCCTGTGTGTGACTGTCTTGTGGGTACTTCTGCTACTGCTGGTGAGTACATGTTGTGGTACATGAAACCATGAGTTTGAATGGGATGGGGGCTGGGGGATTCACCAGATGCTCAGTATTCAGCAGGTTGATCACACCCCTGAAGAAGAGGTTGATACATCTGAGCAGGATGACCCTGTTGTTGTCACCATATGGGGAAAGGGCCCTAGAGATGGGATACCCCAACTGGTGTCAGTCCCCTGCAGAGCATAGATGGCACTGACAGTATTGATGAAACCTCCATTGATTCCCCTCTGAGAGCTGATGCTGACCCCTTCATTCCCCATTCATCGCCCGGCAGCCCTCAGGGATTCACTCCGTTGTCCCACGAGGTTGGTGATGTTCCATAAGAGATATTTGCAGCTCACCCTCCTTCATGTGGGACTGAGCACGAAATAAGGACAGACAGTGATACTGAGGTTTGTTCCGACACTGGAGGTCATCACGATGATAGTCCATCAATTGTGGAATTTGCTCCTGAAGTGGTATTTGAGGAACACAGAGACAGTGTTGATGATGAAACTGTGAGGTAGGACCACCTTCGATGGGAGGTTCCGAGCCTTGTCCAGTTGTGGCTGGAGGAGGTATTGATGAGGTTTGTGTCCACAGTGCTGGAGATATCTATGTGCCAGAACCGAGTGATGCATTAAATGTTGGTGCTGAGGTGGTGGTAGTTCAGATACCAGGGAGGGCAATGAGCCACAGATTCAAACCATACCTGTTGGTCCTAGTAGGCCGACTGAGTTGGGTTCTCAAGTAGCACATGAAGCTGGTGGAAGGAGTTAGGGTGTTGTGACACGTCCCTCCAGGGACCAAAGACCTCCTAAGCATTTCACGTACGAGGTGTTTGGCCAACCAGCATGCCGTAAGCTGAATGTTAATGCATTAGAACAATGGCTACCGGACTTCTGTAAACCATTATTCCTGCCCACAGAGAGAAGCTGCATCGGGGCGATCCAGTAGGTTTAGGAGGGGGGGAGATGTAGCCCAATGCAAAATGGTATAGCACCCTCTTGTGATGAGCGGGACAGCACGCCTTTCGCTGTCTCGCTTGCTTGATGCCATGTTCTTCACGTGATTTTATCTTGTTACGTCAAATTTTTGCCAATCTAAAGCTAATTTATTCTTGTTCCGGTTAAGCCTGTGGCTCTCAGGTAAGCTTAAAAGCATACCCAGTACTTATTAGGGTGACATAAACCGTGATACGTATCGTATTTGGGAATAGAAAATAATCATAGAATAACCGTGCATTTCAGTGAGGTTATAGTCATGTGTGCAGTTGGTGACCTCTTACATGTATTTCATGTACCAGTTGCATTTATGAACCTTTCATGTAACATTTCATAAATCAGTAGTATTGTTGATTGTTTCATACTTGCTCTAAACAGAAGTGAGGGTAACTAAATGCTTCATTTGTATGACATAACAGGGGGATTTAGGTTTTCCGTGTTAAGATTTCTCCATAATTTTGTGATTAAAATTGGGTCATGTTATGTATTACCTGACATGAAGTTTTGTGCCAGGTCCCTATGACTTACATGTGTATGGGGGTATCAGGGCTACATCAATGATGTGCAGACACGGCTAATAAGTGCGTATTCATACAATATTATGCCTGTTCACAGAAATACATTTGATTCAGCAGAATGTTATAGTGCTGAATAGTTGGAGGGTTCGTTTATTCATTGTACTCTCCACCTTCTCTGTTTCCACCCTCTCAGATTGTGATTGCAAGGGTTGTTGACCCACATTGTTTGCGTAGAACAATATTATGGTGAAGTGTGGAATTCCCACAAGACATCACATCAGGACTGGTGGCAGTCAAGTTGAACTGTAGCTGATATGAGTGGGAGGCCACTCCAGATAGGCCATTGACCTCTGCCCTTAGACCTGAACTGTTGTCTGCAGGAACCACAGGCCAGGCTGTGCAGTTCAATCAGTATGGACCGGATCTACAGTGCGGTACCTGATTTCAGACGAGGAACCACCAGGCAAATTGCACGGATCCTCGAAGTGGGACTTGCTGTACCACCTGAATCGACGAGGGACTGTGTTATGAGAACTGAACTGTGGATTCCCAAGCCTCCCTAGTGTTTGGACACTGACTGTTATCAGAGTCAGAGCTGTAGCTCAACCGGTTGAAGAGTTTTCTTCTGCGCGCATTTTTTTATTTGAGATCTCAAAGAAATACTGGCCATATCCTTTAATTGTCAAGGCTGTTATTGTTATAGTTCACTAAAGATTAAAACATTTTCTAGTGGTAATTTAAACTAGGTGAATCTAGTTGGTGATTTCATGTTATAGTGTAACCACTGAACACACAAGGGTCCAACGGCTTACAATAACACATGTAAAAGTAACTTCGCAGGAACTAGCTTGTTATACTCCTTGCCCCTTGGGAACATGGCATCAAGAGTTTGGAAGCCAAACAATTTTTCAACTGTTTTTTTTTATTCAGAGGTACATGTTATATTTTCATCCCAACAATGTAGAGTATTACGATATTTATTTCATTTTATAATTGAAGCACGAACCACATCATAGAATTTAAAATATGAATGTAATACTTTTGAACTAAAATCCCTTCAAAACATTTTTCCATTCATACAAAGAGTCTGAAAGAGATAAATACACATCCATGTGGAATGGCTTATTGCCTGATGCATTTTGACACACTTTTTCTCTTGCCCTCTATAGTTTTATGCGTCTATGCATGTTGTCTTCCCCAGATCACAAGGATCCCTTGTGCATGACAGTGGTTGCAAATCTTGGAGGGTTGGGCAACACCAACACAATGATTATTTCATATCGTTTCCTTGAACACCATTTTTGATAAATGGTAATTGTTACGTATTGAGTACAACAAACATTAACCAATAATCTAATGACAATAAAAAAAATGTATGAACACCACGAGGAAAATACATGTAAACTAAACACCTATAAAGCAACTACTAAAAGCAACTAAAATTGGAAAGATCTCCAAGTAAATAAATATTTATTTCTAACAACAAAAACTAAGAAATTCCAGAAAAATTTATTATTATTATAAAACTTTATAAAGGATTCGTTCCCAGCAGGTTGGAATATTGATGTACTTTGGATTCCTCATAATATAGACTTAAATTTGAATCCAAACACAATTTCCATGCGATTTTGGGACAATCCAAGGGTATGTGTTATTTTCTCCATTCTTTTTCTGAAAATGTGTACAATTTTCAGTTCACTTTGATACAACACTGAGCAAATGTGCCATTACTTGAATCCAATATATGAAACTTCACATTATGCTGTGTGTTGAAGTGGAAGATAACCCCACCCGTTGCCTACTACTTACAAGCACTCACTGCTTGCCTGCTTAGTGATCCAAAATACAGTTAGGAAAATTAGGAAAGGGAACGGTACGTGTACCATACCACACTACCCTTGATTTGATTGGTTGCTTTATTTCTGCAAACAACTACAACCGATGGGTTACTCATACCATGGAGCTATTAAACACACGGAGTTAGAAAAAGTGCCCACACATCGTAATCTGATTAACCGCTCTCGTCAGCTCCATAGACAAATTGCAGTTACATGTACCAGCCATAGTGTTGATGACCCTAGACATTCCTTGTACACAGTGATCATCACCGTCGGCTTGCTGGTAACCCACAGACTCCCCGTGTTTTGCTCCTGCCTACTGGAGTAAATAACTGGTGGAACAGATATACATGCACAAAGAAGATGCGTAATTCTCTACAATAGCACTTCTTTCTGAATTCTGAATCAGCGGTGATCATTTGGTAAAAATCATACTTTCCAAAGTCAGTTATGAAGTTTTGCGGTTCCCACTGTAGAGAACATATACCCAAAACGTGAACTGCAATATTTTAATCATAATTTGAAATCCTAGTGGTTCCTAGGGTTAAAACGTTGAAACATACCGCACGAATGTGTTTGCAAGGTTTCATGCCGAGACAGTTGGGGACAATGACAGAAAGGACAACAAATCGTCCTTGTTTTTTAATTTTCCTCTGGACTAGTTACATTCTTTCACTTTTCTCATGTATTTTTGGAGAATTTGTGATTGTCATTAATTTTATTTATTGTTAAGAGAGACATTTTGGAGATATAAAGACGTAACCAGTCTTTCATTATCATTGGAATTTCAGAACAATCACTAAAATTATCAAAATTTTAAGTCTCCAATGACAGTGGTTTCCGTCTCGATGGCAGCCATGTTGAACATGTGGAAGTTTACGGACAGGCAAGCACGGTACCTGCAATCCTTTGCAAGCACAACTCCCAGCATTCCTTATAGCCAACACACGGCAAGTAGTTTGATTTGTCCTTGCAGTGCTGGCAGTGGCCATCACTGATCCTTTGATCTCTGTATGTGCTCACTTGTGTTTAATAAGCTCCATGGTCAAACTGTCACAGGTATTTGAATAATGTAAAACGCACAGGGTAAATCAAATCCTAAAACCGCTTCTTGAAGGGTCCATTCCTCACAAGATCTACCTCCTGTGTCCCCTTCCCCCACTCCGTCTTCCACCTGCCCCACCTCGTCGACCACTTCTGCTTCCACCCCCATTTCTCCTGCCATCACCTCTACCCCCTCCTCTCCTATCCCTACCTCCCCCACCCCATCGCCTTGTCCCTCCTCCACCCCCAAAGCGGCTACTTCCACGTGCCCCTCCTGAAGGGATAATGTCAGGCAACTCAGTTGCACAAGTCAGGGAGCAGTCTGGTGAATTTTGCCATTGTTTCTGTGGAAGTGGGAATAGATTTAACAAATCACCATTAAGTTCTCTTTTAGCTGTTGAGATTTTTGGGGGTACAATCTTTAACATAATCTGCTATCGTATTGTGAACCAAAATGTGGGAGGGAACACTTCATGTCTGTGCATGCATTGTACAGAAGAAACATTTACAGAAACACTAGGCTAAAATGGCAAGAAATATGGCTTAGACAAGAGACTACTGTTAACAACATGATACTCTTAAAGGAAAAATTTTATTAAGAATTGCCGCCTTTTTCACCAGGTAAACACTTCTGAACAAGATGCAATATTCAAGCCTTAGAAGCACATAGACCCTTCAAAGCTAAGATGATTTGATGTACATTTCAACCACATACCAGCAGTCTGTTCTCCAAGTTTTGTGGGATGTCCAGTGCTGCTGACATCATGTCCTTACAGACACGCACCTCTCGGATAGCCGACTTGATGTCTTTGGACAGCTGAAACCCTAAAGCCTGTATAGCATCCTGGGTAGAGTACATCTTGTAATTGGTCTTCAGGAGGTAGGTTATTTGGCCCTGGAAATGCAAGTGTATCATTGCACTTCAGTGTACAAACTCAAGCAACTTTATTTTAGATTACAAGTATATTGTACATTTCAAGAAACTTCTACATGGGTCATTCCATGAAGTTGGGGAACACCTGCTTAGTAGCCTGCGGTCTGAAGACTTTGGAGCAAATCACATGTCTACTCAAATAATTAGCCAGTTAAATTTACATCATACAAAGAACACATAAAGAGGTATATTGTTGAATCATTTTGTTCATATCTGTGGCAACATTTTTTGCATACTTCATTATGGTATTATTATTTAAACATAGAAAATGGAAAAGGTGGTCAAAAATTGTATAGTCTTTATGGTAATACGTTTAGTTCCACATATCCCTCAAGAATTAATGGTACAGTGATTCCGCACTGTAAGGAACCTTGCTAGCGTACACGTGGTGCGTGCAGGCTGGCAGGCCATGGTTTCCCTGTTAGTGCCCTATGCTGGAACAGGATTTGGCAACATTCCAGCTGGGAAATTGTAAATAAAGGTGCCAAATTTTTGCACTGTTTTCCAGAAATATAATATAATCAGGGATAAACATGGTAAAAGTCGACACAAATATTGCCATCCATGCAGCCGTATATGGCCACAAAGACTGCATTTCGTCCTCACACGACCATGCCGACCAAATACGGGAAAATGTTCAGCCCGACCGCATGGTACCTGGTCTGGAAAATTCTCCCAAAATGAGTTCTTGTACCTACCCTGACATTCGTTCTTGTGGTAGATTCCCTTCTTTATTGTTTAATTTTTGTTGGGATACTTGCCAAATTTTAGAACATAACAAATGAATCTTCGTAACATATTGTAACTCGGAGAAATTTTCACTGCGCACTGAAACTCTTGTGTGGTTTCTGTGTTACATTCACAATCTGCTGCATGTGGCATAATACCCGAGTATTTCGTTGTGCACCTAAGTTATTGCAAAAGAATTACTAGTTATGAGAAACAGAGTCAATAATGTGTCAAAAGTTGTGGGGAAAACGACACATAAGTGAATTTGAAATTTCAGCTCTTCTGTCACACTTTGTATCCAACTTCATGGAATGACCTCCATAGAGAAATAAATAATGCTCAGGACATCTCCATGCAAACTAAAACTTGGCAGGGAACCAATAATGAGCAACATGCATCTCATGCCTTTGTAAATGGCAAAGTGACAGCGCTAGGTGGAACTTTTGGGCTGAATACATTTGTTAGCTCAGCAGTTGTGTGTTAGTTTGGTTAACAGCTGTTGAAATTCTTGAGCACCCACACACCTGTTGGGCAGTGATCAAGGATCGTGTCTTGAGCTCTGTGGCTCCTGACATGTATGCTAGAGCTGTGGCTAAGGCTTCCTCGGCTGAGGTCTCTTCTAGAAGTTCCCTTGCTGCCAGTCTGAAGTAATCTGCTATAGTTGCTGGGACTGCCCCAAGTGATCTTCATAAAAAATAATCAAACGAACATTACAATGTGCCGCCTGAAATACATATAATATAAAGATATCTGATCATCAACCATCAACCCATTCAAACCGCTTTTTTCACCTCAATATTTTGAACATAAGGCTTCATGAAGTGGTTCATGAACACAGCCATTTGTCAGAATTGACAAATAGATTTGAAAGTGGATCTGAAAATGTTAAATAGCCACTGAGAGAAGAAACACGCCAAAGAGTCATCAACCACTGAATCACTGCTACCGGTATTCTATGGTAAAGCGGCAACTGCACAGTATGATCTCTCAACACTTCCTCTACGAAAGCCGTGAAAACATTCAAAATTTTCGGGTACTGGTTGACATTTTACAGCATACACCCAAAATATGAGCACTTCTAGTTGTGCTTTGAATGTCTACAATAATGGATAACTGCTAAGTAAACAGTTAGCATTGATTCAGCAGATGTCTGCCTAATCTGTTCATACCCCCCTCCAGTGTGAACTGGTTAATAAGCTATTAAAATAAAGATGGTCCTGAGCTTACTTTGCAGCCTCTGCAGAACTAGCTTTGATAATGTCCTCAGGCTGTGGAGGGGCTGTCTTGGTAAACCTCATGCCCTGTTAATTAAGACAAACCTCATTGTTCAATGGTTACTCTCACGATAGTTGGTTTCCTCTTATCCATTACATCATATCCGAGGTGCTTGTGAGGGTATATCTGTCCCAAAAAATCTCCTAAAAGGTAATGCAGCTGATTGAGTGGGTAGCTTTCTTTCAAGGGTTCACTGCATTCTGCCATGATCAATGTAAGCAATTTGTTTCCAAAAGTAAACATATAGCCAGGGCAACCGGGCAAAGTAATTTCACGATGAGGAATTGACAAACAATATATAACCTGCCTCAGCTGACTGGAATGAGGTGGCCGGTGTCAATAAGGAGCAAACATTGCTGGGACAGTGCATTAAAAATAAAGTTGAAATCCAATCAGTAACTAAGCCTACTGGAACATATGCACAGTTAATTGAGGGAGCTCTTTCATTGGTAGAAAAACAACATTCAGCCTGTTATTTAAATTAATGGTGAGAACACAATGAAAGTGTCTCCTGAGTGGTGTTTATGCATATTTTCTCTCCAAAGAAATCACATAGAATACAGGTAGGTGACTAGTAACACATTTTGAGTTCACACAATTGGTAATGAATTGGTGAACTGGACTCACTGCCTGGTTTTCCACACGTCTGATGTCATGTTCTTCCTGTGGCTTATAGAAACACACACAGATACCTGAGCGTCCTGCCCGGCCTGTGCGCCCTGAACGATGGATGTAAGAATCAACATCCTGGAAACAAAAATTACTGTTCAATGGCTACATTTACATCTCAACACTGAACATGCAAGTGGCCTAGATTTTCTTGCAAGTGTTTTTATAAACCTCTGTGTTATAATTACTGTCAGTTCTCTGTACTGCTAATCTAAGACTGGTGCATGATACTGTTAAGAATATTCTTGCTATTTGTGTTCATGCAAATGATGTCATCTTGGGCAAAAACCCTGTGTTACAGGAATACTTAGGGAACGTTTCATAATTACAGAAGGTGGTATTTACTGCGGTACCGCTGTATTTTTGCGGTACCAGCATTAAGCCCTTTCAGGTAACTAGTGCGGTGCCGCTAAAAAAACCGCCGTACCGCAGTAAATACTGCCTTCAACAATTATGAAACGCTCCCTCACATGTAACTACATTATCTTGATAATATGATGCCAATGAAAGAAATTGAGGCCAATTTCTTGAATGTTTTACCCTTGGCGGTGAGCACTGAATGACTAGATCCACCTCAGGGATGTCAAGGCCTCGAGCTGCAACATCTGTTGTAACAAGACACTGAAACTTGCCCTCACGGAATCCCTGAAAAGGACAAGTGTATACATCTAGATAAAGCTCAGTGGGTGGAACACTGGACAAGTAGTTGTGAGTCTTTAGCTCAAATCTTTTTTGCTCAACAATCTGAGAGGTTGCACAATGGAGCTGAACAGCTCAGCTGACAGAGCAGCAGATTGGTGAACCATAAGTTTCAGTTTTGAATCCAGTTCAAACATCAGTATGGGACAGTGCTTCTATACACTGAAGCAAGACCCAAAGACCAGAGGTTCAGACACTGGTTTTTCACTAGCAATCTGGATGGACATTAAAGCGGTCCCAGATATCTCCTGTTCAAACACATATCATGGAAGAAATCGCAATGTTCACTAAAGTGTTCCATTACAAAAACTACATCAAATCCTTTGACAATCATATGAGAACTGAAACGACAAACGGCCACACTTCTTGTCAGGAATTAGACATACCTTCAATGTAATTTCTCGCTGCTGCTGTTGGATGTCACCATGCAGAACCTGAGCGTCAATCTTCATGGCAGGGTTCATTGACAGCTCATTGGCTTCCACTTTGGTCTCACAAAAGATCATGCTACGTCCATTCAGCCCACTGTAGACACGAATCACATCATTGATCAAGCTGGGGCGGTCACTGTAGTTGCAACGGATAGCCAAATGCTGAAAAAGGGAAAAATTAATCTACAATATATTTCAATCAATAATAAGGTTGTTTCTTAATTTGGGCCACAGCTAAATCTACTGCCAGCATCTGTCTACCGGTACTTAATTTACAACTGGCAAATGCAATGGAATTGGCAGTAGACACAAGGTTGGCAAAATGCCTTACCATGTTGGTGTATAAAGACTAGGAATACTTGTGCAACTGACATTAGAAACTCCAGCAATTCCAATTAAAACTAACAAAATAACTAAATTGTTCAACAGAAAACCAAACCCAATGATACAACTAACAAGGTCTGCCTGACCAGCACATTTCTTTAAAAAAGTGTGTTCCTGGATCCTCCCTCCCCAAAAAACCCTGTCACAGTTTGACAAAGTACAGAAAGTCTTTGACAATTAAAAATCCTCTCTGATATTATGAAATTCAATGGCAGGTTTGGGGAAGATTCTCCAGTCCTGAGGAACATTTGCAGCACAGCCGCAATTACTTCATTCAGGACTGCGTGCCCCTTAAGAGCTTCATGACAAAGAAGTGTCATTGGTTCCCGAGGATGATTTTGGAGGATTCGAGATAGCCCGATGCAAAAATACATGTACTTTGCAGTTACAGCTAATAGCAAGTTTTGACAGATCTTACCTTGACATTCTTGGCAGTCTTCACTGATTGTGTCCCTACCAGGTCATGCTTCCTCAGTTCTTGCTTCATGTACTTTCTAGCAGTGTTGTGCACCCAGGACGGAACAGTGGCTGAGAATAGCAAGGTTTGGGGGTTGGTAGGGTGTTCCTCCTCACTGGCTGAAGAGGCCCTGTCAATAGGATCTTCGGGACAAGGGGAACATTTATTCATGAATATAGAAGCACTGGAGCAAACAAGGGTCAATTTTAACACACTGCTGCAGACCATTTTGGTCTTGTCTTAGTTTGAGCATAAATGCTCATTGTGAATAACCCACCTCTGACACTGTATACAGCTGATAGAATCTCTTCTACTGATTCGGCAAAGCCCATGTCTAGCATGCGGTCCACCTCATCAAGCACCACATGCTTTAGCCGTGTCAGGTCCAGTGTTCGCTTGCGCACATAGTCCAGGACACGTCCGGGTGTGCCCACCAGCACATCAATGCCCTTGCGAAGGGCTGACTCTTGGGGCCAGTAGGCCACACCCCCATAAATGCAGCAGGTGGTCAGGGAGGGGCTGATGGCCTCAAACTCCTCACACACCTTCCAAGAGGAAATGAAAAGAAATTTTGACTAGAGCAAAAAGGAACTTGGACAGATCTGAATAACGGCTCGACTTAAATGTTCTAGGTTTTTTATTAATTTAATTCAATTTCCCATATTACTTAAGGTATACATGTATGTTCAGACAAGGTGCCACATAGTGGTTAATTCGAAAAGATTAAGTTACCCGTGATTGAACGCTCTAATCCATCTACGGTGGAGAAAGTTAAGTCACTAAGTTGGCGCAATTTGGACACCCAACAATTGATGCAGACGCATAGAAGTCCAAGGGGTTTGGGTTTAGACAAATCCTTACAGGGGTAACACTTCTTCAGACTATTTTAAAAACAACTTTACTTGCAGACTTGACTCATTAGCTTTGCGCCAAAAGTTGTTGCTCAATTTTCTCTGTGTTTTATAGTTCCATGCTGTATCAATGTACCATATTTTGACTTTGACACTGAAGTTTACCATATGATATGCATGGTCTGCAAAGACGTGCCATTTTGAGTAAGCATGTGCTCAAGTACTAGAGGCTGTATTCGATAGGCAACCTCTCTGCCGGTTATGTGCGTTGAGTCGATGCATGGAGGAAGGAAAGGGCTCACAGCTGTGCACAGGGTAATCACTTGCACTGTTCGTTCAGCCATTTCAGTGCTACACTTTGCTTGCATATTGCATGTACATGTACAGATGTATTCTGATGCTTCATTTTTTCCTGCCAGCGCGCTTTTCGTAATTTTGGAACTTTCACAAGGTCTGGAGGTGCATGGGCATTGCATTACCGCTGGGTGATTATATCGATTAATCATGATTAGTTCCTCCTACTCGTTTCACTACTCGTGGATTTGCAACTAATCAATTAATCGCGCCAGTATGATTACATGTAGTAACTGTAGAATTATTAGTACCGGTTAAGTTAGACACACTACCTCACTGTACATGATCATGATCTAGGGCACACTTGCTTTATTTCGGCAGTCTCCACTGACAGGCTTGTGGTCGACTGGGCCGACGGCTAGGCCTGTG